CGTGGGCGACAGCGAGTCCGAGGCCCGAACCCCCCGCCGCCTGGGCTTGCAAACAAGCCCAGCTCCGGCCGCACGCCCGACCGGGCCCGGCAAGCCTGGGTCTGGCGAGCCGGCGCGCGCGCGGCCCTCCCTCCGGCCCCGGCCCCGGCCGCCGTGCGGGCTCACAACGCCGCCTTGCCGTACCTGTTCAGGCGGAACGGCCCCGGCGGAGCCCCCGCGGCGGAGGGCGGCGGCCAGGCGTGCAGCGCCGCGCGGCCACAGGCAGCCGCCCGACTCTCGGCCCGGGGGCAGGTACCGCCCTCACGAACCTCCCGGCCGCCACTGCCTCCGGCGGAACTCAGGTGGCCCTCCCGCCGCCCCGGGCCGCCTGCGCCCCAAGCTGCGCGGCGGGCAGCCGAGGACCCCGCCCACTCGCCCACGCCCGGCCACGCCGCCGCTCTCATCGACACCAAGCTCAGCCGGGGCCGAGGCCCGCGCGTGCGGAAACCCTCTCTGACCCGCCGCGCCTGCCACAAGAGAGGTTCCTGCTGCTTCGGCCTGGGCATGGCAGTTTCCGGGGCCGCGCCTGCGCCACAAGGCGACGCGCGCGCTTGCTTCCGGGCTTCTGGGTAGAAATGTAGTTCGGCTCGCGCGCCGCTGCGCCAGCCGCGGAGCCGCGCGCGACACGGTGGCTCAGGCCGACCGCGGGAAGCGGCGCCTGCGGGGCCGGAGCCCTGGGAGGACGCTGCAATGCTCGAAACCAAGAGCGTGAAGCTGCGGCCCTCGCGCAGCCCGAGGAAGTTCGGCGTGGCGGGCAGGAGCTGCCAGGAGGTGCTGCGCAAGGGATGCCTGCGCTCCAGGTGGCGGGGCCGCGAGGCCTGCGGGCGGCGGCCGCGCGGGCCTGCCGCACGTGCCGTCCGCGGGAGCCGTCTGACCTCTCTTCCCCGCCGACCGTCGGGTGGCGACGACTCTGCCCGGGCCCAGGGTCCCTGGCGGCAGTGCCGGCTGGCGGTGCTCGGGGACAGGCCTCTCCAGCCTCGCCCGCGCCTGTGCGATGGCGCCGGGCTGGGTGGGCTCCAAACCCTGGGCGGTTTCAGTCTCCAGCTCTCTTTCCTTGCTGTGCTTGTTTTCTCAGCAGTGCTAGGTTTCCTGTGTGCCTGTGTGTGTTGGTGGTGGTGGTGGGGGGAATTGCCATAACAATGCCTGGAACTTCACACAAAGCCTGAAAAAAAGCCTAAAACAGACCAGTGTGCAGTAACAGGGACCAGACTCGGCAAGCCAAGAGTCTATGTGCCAGCCACGCGCGTGCCAGCTGCGCTTTGCAGAGGCAGTGAGTCATTCGTCAACGGGTCGTTGCAGGCCTGTAGTCTCAGATAAACCAGAGCGGGTTGAGACAGGAATATCGCTGAGGCCAGGAGTTAAGACCACGCTGGGCAGTAAATAAGCACCCCCTCAAAAAAAAAAAAAATCTGTGTAGTGAATTCTGCAAAGCAACAGTCACCACTTGGTAATATTTTAGATGACTTTAATATTTAGAACGGCCTGCGGTCAGGTGCCCTTGTTTGGACATGCTGGGTCTGCCAAAAAAAAAAAATTGGTGTAGCACACAGGCAGCGTCCAGAGACAGGCTCTTTACACAGAGCTCCTTCTTGTTGGTGAGGCCTCCTTATGAAAAACGCTGTCTTGCTGCCCAGAGAGTGGCCCCCTGAGACCCTTCCTCCCCCTGCGCCCCGCAGCTCCCGGTGCGCAGCTCCTGGCTGTGCCTGTACGAGGATGGCACAGAGCTGACTGAAGACTACTTCCCCAGCATCCCGGACAATGCCGAGCTCGTGCTGCTCACCTCGGGCCAGACCTGGCAGGGCTGTAAGTGGCAAGGACCTTGGAGGTGGCGGGAAGCTGGCCCAGTGAGCGGGCCTGGGTGGCTTAACCCAGGTGCCAGTTAGGAAGGGAGGGGCCCCCTTTACTCTCCCCTCCAGTCTCAAGGTTGAGGCCCTCTGGAGTCAGAGGTCAGGGTCAGGGTCAGTCAGTGGTCAGGGTCACGTAGGTGGCCAGGTCTTCAGTCCTCTTGTGCATGAGCACAGTTGTTCAGTTGGTTGTCTTTTTAAAGAAAATTCTTTTAGTTTTGTTTGTGTTCTTCTGAGGCATCCTAGTAACTCCCTAGGGCAAAGGGAGGGCTTGGGGTTGGGGACCACACAGTTTTGTGGGTAAGGTGGAGCCAGAGAGAGATGTCACTTGCATCTGCCGGGCTGGGCCTCTTTCTAAGGGGACGGGTGGTGGCTCCCACGATGCTCAGTTTCTTAATGGTGTTTACTTAGAGGCTGTCCTTAGGGATTGTGTTTGGGGCAATTGCTTTGAGTGGTGGTTCTGTAGGAGTTTCCATATAAAAGCCCCAGGACACAAGTTTTGCCTTCCAGAACAGCTGGATGGCAAGTTCTGTGCGGCTTGTGTGAGTGTCCATGAGGGAGAGGTTCCAACCCCTGGGACAGGCACGACACCATCGTGTGCCCTTCCTGGGAGGGTTGTCTGGCTCCTGTGCAAAGGGGGTTATGCTTCAGGGACACTTCTGGTGCCCTGGGAAGGACGTGGGAGCTTCTGGGACTGGAGGGCGTCCTGGCTTCTCTGCCAACGGGGCAGAAAGAGGGAAGCCGAAGGGTAGTGTCTGTGTGGCGGGCGGCCGTGGTGTTGGGGCTGAGCTGTCAGCAGGAGGGGTGGCGCACCTGGTGTGTGCTCTGAGGTTGCAGGCCCTCTGTGTCCATTGGGTCTTGTCATTCTACAGGAGGCGGCCAGAAAGCATCACAGTGATGCCATCTGGGATGGCCCTGTGGGAGCTGGAGCAGGAGACCATGGGGTATTGGGTGGCTTGGGATGTTTCCTTTTCTTTCCCACTTCTTGGTACGGTTGAATGAGAGCAGAACAGGGTGGTCTCTCCGTCCCCTCTCCACTGCTCGGTCTCTTCATCTGTCTGTCTTTGTCCCTTCTCTCTGGTGCTTTGTCCCCTCTCTCACTGAGAACACCAGTCCTTTTCTTTGTAGACTTTTAAAAAATATTTGAGCTGTGTATTTAGAAACAATGATAGATTTGTAGGAAGCTGCAAAGAAAGTCAGGAAGGTCCTATGTGGCCTTCACCAATTCCCCCAAAGGTGACATCTGACATAACCGTGGTACATTCTCAAAACCAGGAAGGTGAAATTGGTGCAATGTGTGTGTATTGTCCTGTCAGGTATCCCCAGGTAGATTCATATGACCAGCACTGCATTTGAGGTACAGACTTCCCCCATCCTTCACCACCAAGTTTCTCCCTCACGCTGCCCCTCTGTATGCCTAAAACAGACCAGTGTGCAGTAACAGGGAACCAGATCTCGGCAAGCAAGAGTGTATGTGCCAGCCACGCGCGTGCCAGCGCGCTTTTGCAGAGGCGTGAGTCATTTGTGCGGGTCGGAGCCGGCGTCGTTGCAGCCTGTAGTCTCAGATAAACCGAGCGGGTTAGACAGGAGTATCGCTGAGGCCAGGAGTTCAAGACCACGCTGGGCAGTATAATAAGGCACCCCCCTCAAAAAAAAAAAAGTCTGTGTAGTGAATTCTGCAAAGCAAACAGTCACCACTTGGTATATATTTTTAGATGACTTTTAATATTTTAGAACGGCCTGCCGTCAGGTGCCCTTGTTTGGACATTGCTGGTTCATTGCCGAAAAGTCCATCGGCACCCAGAGAGTGCCAGACTGCGACCTCCCCAAGCAGCAGTTGCACTCTCTTCCCTCACTACACTCCTCCTGGTACTGGCACAGTAAAAGGTAATTAACTATGAATTAAACTGAAACTCATTTTAGCAACTTCCAAACGTGCTGTTACCAGACTAGGAAACAAACTTTGTTTCCAGTTTTCTTTTTTAAAAAAAAAAAAACTTAAATGTTACACAATTAAATAATGATGTCTGGTCAAGTAATCTTAAGGATTGAAAGGGCTTCAGAGAAGCCTGAAATTGGAGAGGAAAAGGATCAAAATTTAACCTATACAGGGCCAGAGCACCATTCTCCAATCTTTTGATCCGTAGGACACGTTTAAACTGGTCCACTACGAGCTATGCGTCCAGAATAGGAAAAGCCGGGGCAGGAAAATTCCGTCCGGCGCAAACACAGGGGACCCACTGGGAGGCGACTCGCCGAGGGTCTCAGGGGCGGCGGTTCGGCGGGGACGCGGCGCCGCCGTGGGCAGGACGCGCCCGTGCCCACGCGGGCAGCATGGGGAGCACCAGGCCGGGCAGGCGGGCAGGCCTGACACCGACCCAACCCTCCGGACACCAGAACCCGAGACCGCCCGGTCCGTGGGCGACAGCGAGTCCGAGGCCCGAACCCCCCGCCGCCTGGGCTTGCAAAGCACGCCCAGCTCCGGCCCCGCAGCGCCGACCGGGGCCCCGGCCAGCCTGGGTCTGGGCGAGCCGCGGGCGCCGGGCGGCCCTCTCCCTCCGGCCCCGGCCCCGGCCCCGGCCCCGTGCGGGCTCACAACGCCGCCTTGGCCGTACCTGTTCAGGGCGGAACGGTCCCCCGGCGGAGCCCCCGCGGCGGAGGGCGGCGGCCAGGGCGGTGCAGCGCCGCCGCGGCCACAGGCAGCCGGCCCGAACTCTCGGGCCCGGGGGCGGGCAGGTACCAGCCCTCCACGAACCTCCCCGGCGGCCGCCACTGCCTCCGGCGGAACTCAGGTGGCGCCTTCCCCGCCGCCCCGGGCCGCCCTGCGCCCCCAAGCCGCTGCGGCGGTGGCAGCCGAGGAGCAGCCCCGGCCGCCTCCGCCCATCGCCCGGGCCACCGCCGCCGCTCTCATGACAACCAAGCTCAGCCCGGGGCCGAGAGCCTCCGCGCGTGCGCGACCCCGCTCTGACCCGGCCGCGCCTGCGCACAAGGAGAGGTTTCCTGCTGCTTCGGCCCTGGGGCAATGCAGTTTCCGGGGCCGCGCCTGCGCACAAGGCGACGCGCGCCTTTGCTTCCGGGGCCTTCTGGGTAGTGTAGTTTCCGGGCTCGGCGCCCGGCCCGCGCCAGCCCCGCGGAGCCCGCCGGCGAGACCCCGGTGGCTCAGGCGACCGCGGGAGCGGCGCCTGCGGGGCCCGGAGGCCTGGAGGACGCTTGCAATGCTCCCGAAAGCCAAGAGCGTGAAGCTGCGGGCCCTGCGCAGCCCGAGGAAGTTCGGCGTGGCGGGCAGGAGCTGCCAGGAGGTGCTGCGCAAGGGATGCCTGCGCTTCCAGGTGCGGGGCCCGCGAGGCCTGCGTGGCGGGCGGGCGCGCCCGGGAGCCCTCGCCGTCACGTGCCGTCCGCGGGAGCCGTCTGGACCCCTCCTTCCCTCCGCCGACCGTGCGGGTCGCGACGACTCTGCCCGGGCCCAGGGTCCCTGGCGGCAGTGCCCGGCTGGCGGTGCTCGGGGACAGGGCCCCTCTCCAGCCTTGCCCCGCGCCCCCTGTGCGATGGCGCGGTCGGGCTGGGTGGGCTCCAAACCCCTGGGCGGATTTCAGTCTCCACTCTCTTTCCTTGCTGTGCTTGTTTTCTCAGGCCAGTGCTAGGTTTGCCTGTGTGCCTGTGTTGTTGTTGTTGGGGGGTGGGGGGAGTTGCCATAACAATGCCTGGAACTTCACACAAGGCCTGAAAAAAAAAAAAAGCCTAAAACAGACCAGTGTGCAGTAACAGGGAACCAGATCTCGGCAAGCCAAGAGTGTATGTGCCAGCCACGCGCGTGCCAGCCGCGCTTTTGCAGAGGCGGTGAGTCATTTTCGGTCAGACGGGTCGGAGCCGGGTCGTTGCAGGCCTGTAGTCTCAGATAAACCGAGCGGGTTGAGACAGGAGTATCGCTGAGGCCAGGAGTTCAAGACCACGCTGGGCAATATAGTAAGGCACCCCCCTCAAAAAAAAAAAAGTCTGTGTAGTGAATTCTGCAAAGCAAACAGTCACCACTTGGTATATATTTTTAGATGACTTTTAATATTTTAGAACGGCCTGCGGTCAGGTGCCCTTGTTTGGACATGCTGGTTCTTGCCAAAAAAAAAAAAATTGGTGTAGCACACAGGCAGCGTCCAGAGACAGGCTCTTTACACAGAGCTCCTTCTTGTTGGTGAGGCCTCCTTGAAAACGCTGTCTTGCTGCCCAGAGAGTGGCCGCCTGAGACCTTCTCCCCCTGCGCCCCGCAGCTCCCGGTGCGCAGCTCTGGCTGTGCCTGTACGAGGACGGCACGGAGCTGACCGAAGACTACTTCCCCAGCATCCCGGACAATGCCGAGCTCGTGCTGCTCACTCGGGCCAGACCTGGCAGGGCTGTAAGTGGCAAGGGCCTTGGGGTGGCGGGAAGCTGGCCACGTGGGCGGGCCTGGGTGGCTTAACCCAGGTGCCAGTTAGGAAGGGAGGGGCCCCTTTACTCTCCCCTCCAGTCTCAAGGTTGAGGCCCTCTGGAGTCAGAGGTCAGGGTCAGGGTCAGTCAGTGGTCAGGGTCACGTAGGTGGCCAGGTCTTCAGTCCTCTTGTGCATGAGCACAGTTGTTCAGTGGTTTCTTTTTAAAGAAAATTCTTTTAATTTTGTTTGTGTTCTTCTGAGGCATCCTAGTAACTCCTAGGGCAAAGGAGGGCTTGGGGTTGGGGACCACACAGTTTTGTGGGTAAGGTGGAGCCAGAGAGAGATGTCACTTGCATCTGCCGGGCTGGGCCTCTTTCTAAGGGGACGGGTGGTGGCTCCCACGATGCTCAGTTTCTTAATGGTGTTTACTTAGAGCTGTCCTTAGGTGTGTTTGGGCAATTGCTTTGAGTGGTGGTTCTGTAGAGGTTTCCATATAAAAGCCCCAGGACACAAGCTTTGCCTTCCAGAACAGCTGGATGGCAAGTTCTGTGCGGCTTGTGTGAGTGTCAATGAAGGAGAGGTTCCAGCCCTGGGACAGGCACGACACCATCGTGTGCCCTTCCTGGGAGGGTTGTTGGCTCCTGTGCAAAGGGGGTTATGCTTCAGGGACACTTCTGGTGCCCTGGAAAGGACGTGGGAGCTTCTGGACTGGAGGGCGTCCTGGCTTCTCTGCCAACGGGGCAGAAAGAGGGAAGCGAGGTAGTGTCTGTGTGGCGGGGCCGTGGTGTTGGGCTGAGCTGTCAGCAGGAGGGGTGGCGCACCTGGTGTGTGCTCTGAGGTTGCAGGCCCTCTGTGTCCATTGGGTCTTGTCATTCTACAGGAGGCGGCCAGAAAGCATCACAGTGATGCCATCTGGGATGGCCCTGTGGGAGCTGGAGCAGAGACCATGGGGTATTGGTGGCTTTGGTGTTTCCTTTTCTTTCCCACTCTTTGGTACGGTTGAATGAGAGCAGAACAGGGTGGTCTCTCGTCCCCTCTCCACTGCTCGGTCTCTTCATCTGTCTGTCTTTGTCCCTTCTCCTGGTGCTTTGTCCCCTCTCTCACTGAGACCACAGTCCTTTTCTTTGTAGACTTTTAAAAAATATTTGAACTGTGTATTTAGAAACAATGATAGATTTGTAGGAAACTGCAAGAAAGTCAGGAGGGTCTGTGTGGCCTCACACATTCCCCCAAAGGTGACATCTGACATACCGTGGTACATTCTCAAAACCAGGAAGGTGACTTGGTGCAATGTGTGTGTATTGTCCTGTCAGGTATCCAGGTAGATTCATATGACCAGCACTGCATTTGAGGTACAGACTTCCCCATCCTTCACCACCAAGTTTCTCCCTCACGCTGCCCCTCTGTATTCCCTTCCCTGAGATCCATCTAAGTTGTATGTATCAATAGTTTGTTCTTTTTTTTTTTTTTTTAGAGATGGGGTCTCACTCTGTCACCCAGGCTGGAGTGCAGTGGTGCAATCATAGCTCCCTGCAGCCTCAGACCCTGGGCTCCAGTGATCCTCCTGCCTCATCCTCCACTTTAGCTGGGGCTACAGGGGCACACCACCACATCTGGCTAATTTTTAAATTTTTTGTAAGGATGGGAATTATGTTTTAATAAAGCTATTCAAAAAAAGAAAAAGGAAAAAGAAACTTCTAAACTGTTTTGCAGAGTGGCTGCACCATTTTATCTCTCTACCAACAATGTACAGAAGATCCAGTTTCTCAGCAGCCTCACCAGCCTTTGGCATTGTCACTATTTTTTGTTTAATCATTTGGATTGGTGTATGGTGATACCATAGTTCATTGTGGCCTTGATTTGCATTTCTCCAATGGCTAATGGCACGGAACATCTTTATGTGCTTATTTGCCATCTGTGGATGCTCTTCGTGAAATGTTTCTTCATGTCTTTTGCCCATTTTCTAATTGGATTTTTTGTAACCGTTTGAGTTTTTTTTTTTTTGAGACAGAGTCTCGCTTTGTTGCCCAGGCTAGAGTGAGTGCCGTGGCGTCAGCCTAGCTCTCAGCAACCTCAAACTCCTGGGCTCAAGTGATCCTCCTGTCTCAGCCTCCCGAGTAGCTGGACTACAGGCATGGCGCCACCATGCCCGGCTAATTTTTCTTATATATTAGTTGGCCAATTAATTTCTTTCTATTTATAGTAGAGACGGGGTCTTGCTCTTGCTCAGGCTGGTTTCGAACTCCTGACCTCGAGCCATCCGCCTGCCTTGGCCTCCCACAGTGCTAGGATTACAGGCGTGAGCCACCGCGCTCGGCCACCGTTTGAGTTTTGAAAGTTTTTTTCCCCCTAATACACCCGGATATGAGTTTTTTGTCAGATATGCAGTTTGTGTGTATTTTCTCTTCTTCTGTAGCTTGTCTTTTCTTCCTCTTACCAGTATCTTCCCAGAGCAAGAGTTTTGAATTTTGATGAAACTCGGTTTGTCAATTATTTTCTTTTATGCTTGTGCTTTTGGCATTAAGTGGAAGAACTTTTCACCAAGCCTTTGGTCCCCAAGATTTCCTCCTATGTTTTTCTGCATCCATTGATATGATCATGTGGCTTTTCTTCCGTAACCTGCTGATAGGGTGGATCACACTGATTGATTTCCGACTATCGAACCAGCCTTGCATTCCCACTTGACTGTGGCGTTTACACCTTTTTTATCTATTACAGAGTTCTGTTTGCTAACATTTTGTTGCGGTCCTTGCTAGACTTTCACTTCCTATTAAGAGCTTGCTGGGAGAGCTCACTGCTTTGGGGAGTTGTGAGAAGACTCCGGGAGGGAGCAGGAAAAGTGATTTGCAGGTCTGGAGTAAGGTCTGGCGGGAGGGGCCAGAGAAGGGGCGGCTTGGTTGGGAGGAGAGGCCTCAAGGAAGGGCAGCCGTTTGCAGGGTGGTGCTTTCATGTTCCAAAGCACATCCTCACGGCGCCCTGACAGGTGGTTGCCAGGCGGGGTCAGGGCAGGGACGAGGGCCTGGGGACAGTCCCCAGGCTCTGAGAGGTTAGGACAGAGATGTGGGCAGAGAGAGACTTCTCGTGGCTGGGGCAGCACGTGCCTTCCACTGGACTGTACGCCTTTCTGTTTGTCCCCCCATTGGTGGCAGACGTGAGTGACATCGGTCACTTCCTCAGTGTGTTTCACCAGCCGCACGCGGAGGTCATCCAGGCTGCCCGGCAGCTGCTGTCGGACGAGCAGGCCCCGCTGCGGCAGAAGCTGCTGGCCGACCTGCTGCACAACGTCAGCCAGAACATCGCGGCCGAGACCCGGGCGGAGGACCCGCCGTGGTTTGAAGGTGCGTGTGGAAGGGGCTCTGGGCGGGCCGGGCTGGCAGGGGAGGGCTTCCTCGCGGCCCGAGGGGCCAGGAGGAGTTGGGTCCTATTTCAGGTCCCAGAGCCCCCCAGTTTGGGGCTCACCTGGCTTCACGGGGTGGGGGTGGGGCCTCTGAACAGAAGGTGCTCACAGGAAGTCCCGGGCCTCGTGGGAAAGGCGTCCGGCAGGAGCTCATGCGATGGGTCAGAGTCCCGGGCAGCCCTTGCATGGGCCTTTCTAATTATTTTTTTTAATTGTGGTAAAATACATAAAACGTAAAATTTACCATCAAAACCAATCTTTAGTGCATATTCAGTGGCGTTAAGCACATTCTCATTGCTGTGAACTGTCACCACCATCCCTCTTCAGAACCCTGCTCATCTTCCCATCCTGAAAGTGTCCCCATTAAACACTGACTCTCCTTCCCCGCCAGCCCCTGGCAACCCCCGTTCCACTTCCCGTCTCTGTGATTTGGTGACTCGGAGGCCTCCTGTGGGTGGTTTTGTGCAGGGTTTGCCCTTTGTGAGTGGCTGGTTCCACTCTGCACAGGCCCTCAGGTCACCATGTCTTGGCAGGTGTCAGTTCCCTTCCTTGTCTAGGCTGCGTGACACTCGTGTGTGCACGCCACATTTCCTATTGATTGACGGTTGGGTTGCTGCTGCCTTTTGGACTGGCCTTTGAAGCCATCTGTAGCCAACCCCGACAGACTGAAACCCTCTTGGAAAAGCAGCTGAGGGCTAGCCAGGCTGAAGCCCCTTGGTGGCATTTGAGATGCTTCCAGAACAAACAGAACCTAAACGCACTGTGTACGTCACTCTCAGAATGCTCCGCAAGACGCTGCAGTCTGCCCCTCACGTCCTGGCCCGCTTGGCACCTGGGCTGGGCAGGGCACAGACCGAGAGGCCCCTGGCCTGCCCCATGGACTCGGGGGGTCTCCTCCTTTTCCTTGCAGGCTTGGAGTCCCGATTTAGGAACAAGTCTAGCTACCTGAGATACAGCTGTGAGAGCCGGATCCGGGGTTACCTGAGAGAGGTAAGCCTGTTGTGTTAGAGGTAGGGCTGCTGGCGGGTTTGGGAAGGCCAGCTGTGTGGGCTCAGGAGGCCCCCGTCCTCGGAACAGCGGGCAGTTGGCAGGGCCACCACGCCTGCGCCTGCACTGCCGAGCTAAGCCAGCAGACGCGCGGGGCACCTGGAGGAGCGCACGGCGTCACCATCGCACTGCTCGGCCTCCTCCTGCAGTTGGCGTCGGGCTTCCGTCCTCCCCAGAGCAGGGTGCTGGTGTCCTCTCTGGCCTGGCTGGCATGGGCAGTGCCCGGCCAGGGTGACACTTTCTCCTTCCATCGTGTGTTCCCCTGTTGTATTGCATGGCAATACAATGGGAATACATGTATTGCATGGGAATACAATGGCCTCTGAACATCTTCATGCATCGGGTGGTTCGATTTTGACATGAACTTAAGATCTTCTCTCTGTCCGCCGTTCTCTCCCGAGGGTGCCCCTTTCCAGCACACGCATTTACTTTCTGTCGTGTGGTGCAGCGCAGTCCCCTGACCTCTGAGAAGCAATGGAAAGGCGGGACGGCGTTTGCCGAGCTGAAGACTGCTTGGAGGAACTTGGGGTTGTTGCTGGGTCTGAGCTCTGGCTTTTTAAATAGACCAGCCCCTTCCTTCCCGGGGAGACATCGGACGCTGAAGGATGTGGATTTAAGTGTGATGTCGCCAGCGGAAACTGCAGTTTCCCTTTGGAAAGAAGTGAGCCCTCGGGCCCACGCCCCACCGTGGTCTCTATTCTGCTCCCTTCCAACAACAAAATAGACCAGACGACAATTGAGGAGCAGGGTGGAGAGCAGGAGCTGCCGCAAACAGCAGAAGTGTCCCTGCTCTGGGGGGTGCTCAGTCACGTGGGCCTTGTGCCCCCACCGCATTGGGCTCTGTGCCGTCCCTTCAGGACGGGACAAGAGGAGGGATGGGTGTCCCAGCAGCACAAGTGGAGTGGGTGGGTGGCCGAGCACAGCCTGGGGGCTCTGCGGTCTGTTTTGTTTTGTTTTCTTTTATTGAGACAGAGTCTCACTCTGTTGCCCAGCCTAGAGTGAGTGCCGTGGCGTCAGCCTAGCTCACAGCAACCTCAAACTCCTGGGCTCAAGCAATCCTGCTGCCTCAGCCTCCCCAGTAGCTGGGACTACAGGCATGCGCCACCATGCCTGGCTAATTTTTTCTATATATATTAGTTGGCCAATTAATTTGTTTCTATTTATAGTAGAGACGGGGTCTCGCTCTTGCTCAGGCTGGTTTCGAACTCCTGACCTCGAGCATTCCGCCTGCCTTGGCCTCCCAGAGTGCTAGGATTATAGGCGTGAGCCACTGCGCCTGGCCTCTGTGGTCTGTTTTTTGCAGCATGCTGCCTTATGCCCTGTGGTTGGCGGGGAGCTCCGAGGCTATTTTGTTCCTTCACCTTCCATCCCCCACCCTGATGCTCCGTGCCCTGCCATGTATCTCAATTTTAATTTTCGTGGTGGAAAGCTGGACACTGTGCTCCCTAGAGGAGCTGTGGCATGGAAGGCACCTCAGGCTGGGGAGATGCAGGCCCTGCCCCGCCCTGCCTGCCTCCGCCTGGGTTCCTGCTTGTGGTCTTTGTTGGACCCGGGCTGTCCCCCGCCCCGGAGCTCTCCAGGATGTCGAACACACACAGTGCTGTGGCACCACTGTCCTGCTGTCATCCCGCACCTGCCTACCGCCCACGGGGAGGCTGAGCACAGAGCTGGTGTCGTGACCTGCTCTAGCTCGCAGGGCGGGGGATGGGGATGAGTGCCAGGGCAGATCGGGGAGAGGACGCCCAGAGCTTGAGTTCATCATTTGTCCAGCTGTGATCAAAGCTGGCAGAGGTCTGCAGGGCCAGGCAGCCACGCTGTAGGTGAGGGCCACCCCCTCAACTGTCACGTGGCTCCTTGGTCTGCAAACCCCTCCACCTCCCTCCCCTCCCAGAGGTGGAGCCAGCTCTGCCCCTCATCTGTCTGCCATGTCTGAATGTGGGTTTCGTGTTTACATAGCATGACACACCAGGCCACATCATGTCACGTCATGCCATGACATACCTTTAGCCTGTGGAGGGCGCTGCAGAGGCCCCTGGGTGGCATGTTCTGTGCTGGTGTTGCCCCACATGGTTGGCGTCCCTGTGCCCATGGCCTACCCCACTCTGGGTGGCACAATTGCTAATTTTCTGCTGTCTCCTCTTTTTCTGCATTTCCTCAAGGTCTGGGTGATGGTCCTTGCTCCCCTGAATTTCCTAACCTAGCTCACGGTATTCATCCTAAGTGTGATAGGTGTGGGCCCTTCTGCTCCCCACTTTCCGCCTGACCACAGCGAGACAGCCACTACCTGACTCGTTTCCTCCAGTTCTGACGCAGCCTGATGGGCTGGTGTCGCGGTTCCCTCCACGTCCTGGGCTCAGAGCAATTTCCCAGGGGACAGCTAAGCGGGTCTCGACCCTGTGGCCACAGGGGCGGGGTCTCTGAGGGCCGTGGAGTTGAGGATCGGGAGCCCGGCGTGGGTTCGGGCCGTGGCGCGTCAGGCCGTGCGTGCTCCTTGGTCTTCCAGGTGAACTCCTGCGCCTCCATGGTGGGCGCGGAGGCTCGAGAGCAGTACGTGCGGGTCCTGGGCTCCATGTGTGAGAAGCTCAAGTCCGTGCAGTACAACGGCAGCTACTTCGACAGAGGAGCTAAGGCCAGCGGCCGTCTTTGTACACCGGAAGGCTGGTTCTCCTGCCAGGTGAGCTGCTTTTCTGTGTCCTAGGCAGCCCCCCTGGGGCAAGGCAGGTGAGGACGTTCAGCCCTTGGCTGCCTGGGCAAAGCCCCGTGAGGGGTGCAGCTCTCACGTTCACAGTGAGGGCAGGACTGTGTCAGGCCTCACGTGCCTGGGAGTCCCCGGGGAGCTTGTACGGGGTTCCCAGGGCTTCTGTGTCTGTAGGTCTGGGCCGTGTCTTAGGTCAGCTCGGGCTGCCATGACAGATTACAGGAGCTTCTATAGCAGACATTCATTTCTCTTCGTCCTGGAGGCCGGAAGTCAAAATCGAGGTGTTGGCAATTTCGGTGTCTGGCGAGGGCCCTCTTCCTGGCATGTAGAAGGGACCCTCTTGCCGTCTCCTCTCGTGGAGGGTGGAGGGGAGAGCAGATTCTCTGTGCATCTTCTCATAAGGGCTCTGATTCCACCGGGGGGCGGGGTGGCACCCTCTGCTCTCAGGACCTCCCAAAGGCCCCACCTCAACACCATCACCTAGGGATTAGGATTTCAGCACATGAATTTTGGGGGGACAGAAACATTCAGACCATAGCAGTGGGCCTGAGAATCTGCATTTCTGACAAGTTCCTGCCCAGGGACTCCACTTTGAGAACCGCCAGGGTTTGGGGGGGAGTGAACAGGTGCAGCTTGTGGGGGTCTCGGGAGGGTCGAGTTCAGCGTGCAGGAGCAGCGGCACTCACTGAGGGCTCTCAGAGAAGGACAGTTCAGGGCTTCTGAAAAAAGATTCTGTTCCCCCTGGATGAGCTTTCTAGGTGACCGAGAGTTCTGGCATTTAAGGAATTGTGGCTGCGTGTGGCATTCTGGGCACTAGTTACGCTTGACTGCCAGGCAGCGTGGTATTGGCCACACAGGCAGACACCCCCAGGCTCTGGCCAGGACACAGGAGCACCATCTTGAACAGGTGCCACCAACTCTTGGGGCCCAGGGCGCAGTGTCTGGAGGCTGGAGCCAGTGACCCGTGCGGGGACGGGCGGGGCTGTTGACGCTCATGCCTCTTTCCCGCTGCCTTGGCGGGTTCCCCTTCTGTGCCATGTTAGGCGTGTCCAGCCTTGGGTGGTGATGGCATCAGGGGCTTTGGTGAGTCTCCGGAGCCCGCCCCGTGTGGAGAGGAACCAGGGGGCACCTCTTGCCATTTACAACTGCAGTCACCTCCCCAGTAACGTCCCCCACCCGGGCGGCCTTCGTGGAGCCACTAAGAGGTTCCAGCCGCAGGGGCTGGGTGGTAGATGTGGCCTCTTGTTGCTCCTTATTGCTGAAAAAGGCTCCTGGCTGCCACTGATGGGCAGATTCTTTCCATGGGTGATGGACTCTGACCATAAATGTACTTCTTCCTAGTTAGCTTGACATCCAGACTTTCCGATGAGCTCGCCTAGACACTCGCTGAGTAACCACCGTGCCAGGCTCGGGCTGTGCAGGTCACCCCTGGCCTCAAGGAGGTGCCAGTGTCAGGGACGGTGAAAGAGATGTAAACAGGCAAGGGCAGGGGCACAGCCAGTGTCCTGGGGTGTGGTGGGCCAGTCAGGAGGGGAGCTGGGGAGGAGGCAGAGCTTTGGCATGGGGTTGGGCGGGGGTGGGCTGGTGGGAACAGGTGGCCATGGTGCCGCAGCAAGGTGGCCCAGCCTCCGTGTCAGGATTGTAGGGAAATGTCGGGGAGCCCTGTGGCACACAAGTCCTAGTTTGCCACGTGCTGGCCCTGCCCCGGGCAAGTCAGCACCTCCTCAGCCTCGCTCCCATGAGGTGTGGCTGCTGGTGTGTGATCACAGGGGTGAGGGGGGCCGGAGATGGCAGGTCTGTCCCAGCGTAGGTGGTGAGGTACTGAGTGAAACTGTTGACCGGGGACTCGATCCCCGCAGGGCCTGCCCGGGGGGTCTCAGTAAGATCACTGGACTTGGTGGTGGAGACAGCGATGACAGACTCACTTCCTGGCCTCCTCTTGCTCTCTTGGCCCCCAGGGCCCCTTCGACATGGACAGCTGCTTGTCGAGACACTCCATCAACCCCTACAGCAACAGGGAGAGCAGGGTCCTCTTCAGCACCTGGAACCTGGACCACATGTAAGTGCGCTCTCCCAGGAGGGTTCGGGAGCGGCTGTGCTGAGAACCTCATTCACAGGCCAGAAGAGCGCCCTGCCAGGGTCCCGTCCCCGCCTCGGGATGTTACAGCCAGGGAAGGGCCTCGGGGCGGGTGTGCACTGTTCTTTCAGTGCTGCGTGACCTGGAGTTCCCATCCCCTCCGTTCCCACCCAGGTGGAGCTGGGCCTCGCCTGCCTTCCCCAAAGCGCAGGGCCCGGGCACAGAGCACCTTGTGTGCTGGAACCAGGATGCGCCGCGACAGCGGGTGCTCTTGGTGTGCAGGGCTCTTCTTGCTGAGCTGGGCCCAGCACCGGCCGCGGCCAGCGGGGTGGTTTTAGTAGCTACACGAGCTCTAGGGCACTAAAGGAAAGGGCGGGATGGAAAACGCCATTGTTTTAAGCTGGGATACTTCCCTTAACCATACTCGTGTCCGCACCCTTGCTTCATAAAGACAGAGATCTTCAAATGCCCTTAAAATGGCTACACAGGTTGCGCATCCCTCATCCGAAATCTGAAATGCTCCAAGGTCTGAAACTTTCTGAACTTCGACGCGATGCTCAAAGGAAGTGCTGGTCGGAGCATCTCTGTTTTTCAGATTTGGGATGATGAGTCAGTGAGTGTAATGCAAATGTTCCCAAGTCCAAAAGAGTTCCAGACCCAAAACACGCCTAGTCCCAAGCATTTCGGATAAGGGACGCACAGCCTGTGTCACTTTTTGGAATCAGATTTTTGTAAAAGTGTAAGAGTGAATCAAGCCTTCTGTGCCAGCCCCTTTCCTCGCCCCTGGGGAAGCACCGTTCTGGAATCTGCACGCCCTTCTGATGCCTGTCATCACACCCTCGCCACGTGCCTGAGCCTCACACGCGTACACATGGCATCCTGCTCTGTCGCGTCATACCGTGCTTGTGGGGACGCGTTTGTAGAGTTGGTATATTTGTTTGAACAGGCGCAGAACACTTTATTTTTGAATAGACTCTAATTTTAACTTTTGTTTCCATACTGGTGGGCATTTACATTACTTCTGATTTTTCGCTTTTGTAAAAAACCCTGGGATGAGCACTCAATACAGAATGAACCCGTATGGTCTGGTTCCACGTTATTTAAAGTGTGGTCACTTTCAAAGCCTCAGCGGCATCTGAGAGCGGAGTAGGAATGCAGAATCTCAGGCCCCGTCCAGACATTTCTCGGGTGCCGGGGATTTGGATTTGGGTGTGTGCAGTCCAGTGTGGGAAAGGCTGCCCTGAGTGACCTGTGACAGCCACCTCCCCTCTCTGAGTGCTGAGAGCTTGTGCGAGTCCACGGTGCTCCACGTTCTTGACACCACTTGGTGCCATTGTACTTATGGCATTTATCCTGTCTGATAGGTGAGAAACGGATTCTCTTGCTTTAATTTTTATTTTCCTGATTACTGGGAAATTTGGTTATCTCTTTACATGTTTATTGGCCACTTGTGTTGTCTTCTTGTGTTGCCATTAAGGAATATCTGGGGCTGGGTAATTTGTAAAGAAAAGAGGTATGTTTGGCTCACAGTTCTGCAGGCTGCACAAGAAGTGGCACCAAGCGTCTGCCTCTGGGGAGGGCCCAGGCTGCTCCCCGTTAGGTGGAAGGTGAGGGGGGCGGGTGTGTGTGTGGAGCATGGTAAGAGCAGAAGCAGGAGAGAGGGGGGTGCCAGGCTCTTTTCAACCACCAGTTCTCGCGGGATCTAAGTGGGACGCACTCACTTTGGGGAAATGGCACCGCCATTCATGGGGGACCCAAACACCTCCCACTAGGCCCCACCTCCAACACTGGGGACCCAATTTCCATAGGAGACTGGGGGGAGGGCAAACGAGCCATATCCAAACACAGTGGGTGTCTTCTATGTTGCTTTCCTTTGCTCATTTTTTATTGGGTTTTTGTTCTTATTTATTTGTAGGCTTACTTTACATATTCTGGGTACTAATTCCTTGGTGACTATTTATATTAGAGGTATCTTATACGATTTTGGCTTGTCTTTAATTCTGTGATGCGTTTTATCATGACGAGTTTTAAATTTCAGTGTACTCACATGTACCTTTTCATTTTTGTGTGTTAAGAAGTCCTTCCCCACCCTGTTCAGCATGAAGATGTTCTGTTTCGTGCTTTGCTGGTGTCTTTATAAAAAGGGGAAGAGAGTAACTCTCTCCTCCCGTCATGTGAGGATACAGCAGGCAGATGGCCAGGAAGAGCCCACACCAGGGCCCGGCTGGCACCTTGGTCTCAGACGTCCAGCCTCCAGAACTGTGAAGAAATAAATGTCTGTGGTTTAAGCCCCTAGTCTGTGCTGTTTTGTTACAGCAGACCATGACACTTCCCACGTTGTTCACTAATTCTCTCTGCAGCTCCAATGCCTTTCATCTGTCCTGGACTTGGCTCCAGCTTTTGTGTCCCCTTTAACGACAGGGACTGTCTCTTGAGCGTCCCTGGCCTGCATCAGGGCGGGAACTGCGGTGTGGCCCTGGCGTGTAGCTGTCCTGGTGGATCAGGCATTCGTTTCTCTCGTCTCTGCAGCTGAGGAGCCCCTTCTGTCTTTTGATCTCAACTATGTCTTTTTTTAAAAGGTGACTTTTGTTCGGTATTTCTCTGCATTAATGGGAGAGGGGTCCGCGCCAGCCGGGCCAGAGCCCTGCTGTGGGGTCTCTAACCCTGTCTCGTCAGTTCCCCAGTGCCTGCACGTGTTGACGGGCCTGTGAGTGGTTTGCTTGTGAGTGGAACGGCTTCACACAGAGCAATATCATTTATATATATATATTTTGAGACAGGGTCTCACTCTGTTGCCTGGGCCAGAGTGCTGTGGCATCAGCCTAGCTCACAGCATCCTCAAACTCCTGGGCTCAAGCGATCCTCCTGCCTCAGCCTCCCAAGTATGTGGGACTATAGGCATGTGCCACCATGCCCAGCTAATTTTTTTCTACATATTGTCAGTTGGCCAATTAATTTCTTCCTATTTTTAGTAGAGATGGGGTCTCGATCTTGCTCAGGCTGGTTTCAAACTCTTAACCTTGAGCGATCCACCCACCTCGGCCGTCCAGAGTGCTAGGACAATATCATATATTTTTAAAACAGAACCACAAATATGCAAATAGAAGTATGAAATTGTCACTGAAAGATAAACATCAAACCCTTAGTAGTGATTACCTCTGGGGCGTAAAGAGGAGATGAGACCAAGGGTGGTAGGCACAGGTGACTGCAGCTTTATTTGTAAGGGTGCACTTCTAAAATTTTCAGTCAATAGCAGGCATTTTTTTTTTAATAAACCTATACCTGGTTAAAATGTGGAAGCAAATGGGTCAGTTCTCGATGGCGGGTGACTACGAGTGATGGGAACATGGTTGACTCCCCCTTTTCTTCCTGTGTATTTTCAGTATTTTGAATGCCCGCAATGCCCGCAAATCAAGCTTTGAGGTCAGGCTCTGCTGGACAGACGCGGCCCCCCGGGCACGGCCTGTCGGTGACGGCGCTGGGATGAGTCTGGGGGAGTCGCGGCCAGGGCTCCCGAGACAGCTCCCGCAGCTGCTCCTTCCCCGGGCCCTGGTTCTTCGGGATGTCTCCACACGAGGCTCCCTCCGACATCTCATTGTGGCGGCCAGGGCATGACGATCTCTCACCTTGCTTTGCAGAATAGAAAAGAAGCGCACCATTGTCCCACACTGGGCGGAGCCGTCGAGGAACAAGACGGAAGGGGAGGTAGACTGGGAGTTTTCTACAGCCTGCTTTTTACCTCTGAGAACCTAAAATTGGTGCCACATCGCCTGCCACAAGAAAACCACCACACAAGCTCACCTGTGACCGCCGACAGGATCTACAAACCCGGGACAGGGCCGAAGAGGAAGCGGCCGGACTCGCAAGTCCCGGTGACGCGTGCTCGGGTGAGGCCTGATGTGTGGGCACAACTTTAACAGGTGCTAATTTTTTTTTTTTTTTGGTCACTCCAATAGTTCCTGGAAAAAACTTAAAAACATATCTCCCTCCTAGCACTCTGGGAGGCCGAGATGGGAAGGATTGCGTGAGCTCCAGGATTCGAGACCAGCCTGAGCAAGAGCGAGACCACTGTCTCTCTAATAAATAGAAAGAGATTAGCCAAACAACTAAAAATAGAAAAAAGATTAGTTGCGGCGAGCCGTGGCGCATGGCCTGTAGTCCCACAGCTTACTAGGGAGGCCGAGGCCAGGGAAGGAGTCGCCTTGAGTTTTGAGGTTGCTGGTGAGCTAGCCCTGACGCCACGGCCACTCTAGCAGGCAACCAGAGTGGAGACTCTGTCTCAAAAAAAAAAGAAACAAAGAAAGGAAAGAAAAAAACGTCATCTCACTGCCAATTCCTGATTTCA